CCCTCAGCAACAAAGGTCTTTGGCTGTGCTGTGCCTTGCTGCTCTGGAGCCCCTGAATTCCAGTGCTCCTGGCTTGATCCCTGCTTGCTTCTGCTGGTCTTCAGCATTTCAGTGCCTTGTTCTGGCTCTGTGCTCCTGGTCCAGCCACCTGGCTCCCAGCTTGGTGCTTGTCTTTGGACTCAATACCCTGCGTGGCAGACTGGGTCCCGGTGCCCTTGTCCAGGGTGAGAGGCTGGCTGGGATATCTTGGACTTTGACATATTTCATTGACACACACCAATTAAAAGATACAACTTTTTTTCTCTTACCCAAGATAGAATATAGTGGCAGCATATGAAGTATCTAAATTTCCTTCCTTTTTTCCCCTTCTCTTAACCCTATCTGAAGGAGTTTTAATAAAATATGCTGTGCTCTGTAAACATCTCTGGTGTAAATCTATTTACAATCGTTACATGTGTGAAGTACTTTTTAGTTTACAGGTGTTGCTAGTAAGGACTAACAATAAACAGACACATTTACTTTATCCATAAAAAAACTCATAAGCAGTTGGAAGTAATATTCTTTATTTTTATTTGAGCTCAGAAGCAAACTACTTATGCTATCTGTTGCCCCAGGAGCAACCTTACGTATCTGGCTAGTCTAACTAATATTAATGATGGTTGTTGTAGGTTTTTTGGGCTGTCTGGCCATGTTCTTGAGGTTTTTCTTCCCAACATTTTGCCAGTCTCTGCTGCCGGCATCTTCAGAGGACAGGAGTCAGAACTCTATCTGTGGTCTGGTGCAGATTTGTGGGATAGTTGAGTATAGCTGTGGGATCAACTTTTTGTGTGTGTGTCCTGTTCAGGAGATTGGGTGATTATGGTGATCAGCGTGTTTTTTGTTATGGGTGTATTGTTGCAATAAGGGGGAGAGATGATCTGTCACTGTGATTGATGGGTGTCATTAGCTGGTCTTTTGTGTGCAGTGATCCCCAGTTCTTGTAGCTGGGTAGAGTTCATTGACCTTTTGCAGGCTGTATTTTTCAGTACTGGGAGCCAAGCTTTGTTGAGTTTTAAACTTTCTTCTTTTTTGTTGAAGCTCTGCTGGTGTTTGTGGATTTCAGTGGCTTCCCTGTGCAGTCTAACATAATGATTGCTGGTGTTGTCCAGTACTTCTGTGTTTTGAAATAGAATTTCATGTCCAGCTTTGATTCTGTCCAGAATCACAGAACATGAGAGACACTGCAGACTAAAACGACTGGAAAAATCGGCAGTAGCTGAATGTGCCCTGAAACAGGCTGGACAACACCAGCAATCATTATGTTAGACTGCACAGGGAAGCCACTGAAATCCACAAACACCAGCAGAGCTTCAACAAATGTAATGAGAGAATCCATGATAGAAACTGGCCTTCCCTCCCCAGCCTTTGCATGTATGTGTGTGAGGGAAAAGCTGTTATTGCTTCATATTAGTCAGGAGAGTGTGGTTTTGTGAATTTACTAAATGCATTTGAAAGGAGGGGGGGAAATATAGAGAGATCACAGTAACTATAAGCCTCTCTAGCTGTTAGCTGTGAGAGCTCTGGATTTCTTTAGTGGAAATATGCTATTGGCTGAGTTTCTCTGGTGTTAGTGGAATATTAGTGCTGAAGCCATATACATTCAGCAATGATGTTGACTCCACTATCAATGTGACAGGCAACTATTAAACTGATGAAGAAAACAGTCTTTGAAATGGGTTGTTTTTGAAGAGCATGAATGGAGGTATATTTGTGAATAAGAATGTATGTATGTACAGTGGTGCCTTGCTTAACAAGTGCACCGTTTAACGACGAATCCGCATAGCGACACGTTTTTTGCAATCGCTAATGCGATCGCATTGCAATGTTTTAGGTGGCAAAACATCACATTGCGATGATCGGTAAGCGTTTCGCTTACCAATCTTCACATTGCGATGTTAGGGAAACAGCTGATCGGCGGTTCCAAAATGGTCGGCAGGTGCAGAAAATGGCCGCCTGCAGCGTTTTTGTGCCCTGCCCTCGGTTACCGAGGTGGTGAAAATGGCGGCCGGATGGGGAATCTTCGCTTACCGGTGAGTTTTCCCCCCATAGGAACGCATTAAACGGAGTTTAATGTGTTCCTATGGGGTTTTACGTTCCGGATAGCGATGTTTCCGGATAGCGACGTTAATCCTGGAATGGATTAATGTCGCTATGCGGGGCATCACTGTATGTAAAGAGACAAGGGTTTTACAGACAAATTTACATGAATTTCTGCTTAGCTAATTCTCCAACATAGTCATTACAGTAATTCATAATATCTCCTTCAATAAGATGGCTTGTATATAGTAAATGTAATCTGATTTTATACTCTGACTAGTCTGGCTTACCAGTATGTCTCTGGAAATTCCTTATGTTTTAGGTGCTTTCAGTCGTGGGATGAGATACACTTTTAGAGTGTATGGGACTCAAGGTAATAGAATGTGCTTACTGGAAAAGAAGACTAAATATCTCGAAGAATTGGGTAAGCCAGCAGCACTCTCTAATCATGCTGAAATTGTATGTGTTGAATACGCTTCTAGAAAAAAAGAACTCTGTAGACTCATCCTGCTTCTGGGTGTAATTAAAGAATTGACTTCATTAATGAATTAATTATTAACAGCCTAAAAATTGTTAGGCTGTAGGATGATGGGATTTGGCAAAAGTGTCTTCTGCTGGCACATATGTCCTTGTGCTGGTATAACTTTCCTCTGCTGGCTGATTTCAGATTTCTGCAGCCAGAGTAATCCCCAGCAGATCTACTTTGCTTGCTAAGACCTTCCTGCAGAAGGGTGGAAAAGGAGCAGAGCAGGGGCAGGGTAAAGAACGAGCTGAGCTTGGCCAGATCTTTCCTCTAGCCTAGAGAAATGCTGGCACAAAGTTAAGGTCATCCTAAGTAAGTGTTTGCATCTCTGGGGTGAGAGGGTTTGGGGCAGTTAGCTTTGCACTCTTAGTGTGAAACAAACTGTAGAGTAGTTGGTCTGAATTGTAATTTTTATTTCAATGAGCAGAATTTTCAGCATCTGATTTGCTCTTGAATGAAATAGAATCCTTGGAAACTGCACTTGTATTTAGAGGGTTGCAGGTGGAAGGGATGAACCTGGACCGATAACTCTTCCTTTATTTCCCTGACATAAGCAAAAAGTGTGGTTCTAATAATCTCTCCCCTCTTCAGTAAGTGATTAGCCTCATGTTGCTATTTGGAACTGTTTTTCCTGAACAAGTGTGCCCGTCCTATGACTACAAAAACCCACAGAGTTGCCAGCAAGAGTGTCTCTGGAGTTTGGTTTTGCTTCTTCTCATGACCAAAACTGTTAATTTCACATTTCCTTTGTCCAAGGATTTGAAGCTAATGGGACAAAATGCAAGCATGTTGCTAGAGCTTGGAAATAATTTTATGAAAAGAAATTAATTAGTCTTAATAGTTCCCATTGGACCCTGTGTTAATGATAGAGTAATTGTAGTTGTGTCAAAAACAAGAAGCCATGGTTTCAGTACCTGTCGCAAACTGAAATAAGTCCAGAGGAATGACTTGATTTAATCAGAGCAATAAAGAGTCCAGATCTCCTTTAAAAAGCATATTTCAGTCTTGCCAAAGGGAGGTACTTTGATATAACTGGGAGACTACAGTTCTATGCATATTTATCCGGAGATCAGATCTATTGAAATCAATAGAACACTTCTGAGTCAGCATAAAAAGGACTGTATTGTGTATGTTCTACAGGACTTGATTTTGGCAGGGTTGTACCTTAAATCAGTTCTGGAAGCATGCAATGAAATCAGATCATGTGGCCTTCCAGGTGTTGTTGAACTGTGACTCCCATCATCCTGTAGCCACTGGTGATGTATGACATAATTTACAGCCTAGCATCTGGAGGGTCACACTTACCTTGTCTGTGGTCTAGCCTGTGAACTTTCATGCCACAGTCAATCCATTCTTTAGATATCCAAGATCAAGCCATTAGACTGAAACCCGTTTTCCTTCAGCATTGTTGCCCTATTGTGTGTTTTCTGACAGTGCCTTTGATAGGTTAGGCCAGCGGAGGCTCAAACCCACGCTAAGTTTTAGTCTCAATTTTAAAGCAGCTATCCAAGGTGCTGAATCTGTTTTGAATTTGTCCTGCCCAACCGAGAGCAAAACCATCGGTCTCTACTGCATTAGCCAGAAGACGGAGTGGTGGCATCTTCGATAACTGTGCAGGAGTTCTAGCATGCCAAACTAACAAACCACCAACAAAAGCAAAGCCCAATTTGAATAACATGAGCTAGGAGTTTCCAAAATATGAAAAGGAGGCGAAAAGCAAATTATTATAGAATTATAAAGAGTGATAGATTTAGTTCAATGTGAGCTTTCTTGTATCAAAATTGACTTTTCTTCCTTTTGTTTGTAGAAGTAGATTTTGATCCTCGCAGCTCACCATGAAATAAAGCTATCAATCTTTAAAGTGCCATAATATTTTGCCTTCCTATCCCCAACACCTTTTATTTTCCCCCTTGGATTTTGCCCATATGCTGAGCCAGGAGTAATTCAGAGACTTGACATGAACATAGATTCCGGGAGGGGAGCTACAGAAGTCTGTAGAAATCAGTGAGGTTTTCCAGGAAAGAGTTAGTCTGATCCCAATTTTGGTTTAGAAATGGTAGTGTTCAGTTCTTAGTGTCATTTTACATGGTCAATAAATGGATAATGGACAATAATGTCAAGAATAGTAGTCTGGGAAGCATGTAACAATTTTATCAACTTCCTGTCTTCCAGAGCCAGTTCAGGATCCATCCTTTAACATATCTGCAGTGACTTCCAGTTCAGTTACTGTCAGTTGGGAATCTTATCCTGAAGATTCCCAGCTTGGTTTTATCAGAGGTTACAATGTTTACATCAAAATGGCAAACAGGAACTGCACATTAAAGTTATCTGAAACACTGCTATTTCCAGGTAACCGGGAAATTCTGAATAATGTACTGTATTCTTAAGTAACACAAGAATATTTAGATCAAATGGCTGCTGGGAATTCGTAGGCTGAGCTCGTAAAGAGAGAAAAACATGCGACACCAACCAGAGAAGAAATTCATAACAGGAAAGGAAGCCAAGTCCAGGAACCGAGGGTAGGAAAAGGAAGTCAAGACACCCAGTGAAAGAAGTGTCGGCACTAGTTAAGAATTTGTGGTGGGACTTGAGCTCCAGAATTTCCTTACATGCAGAAAAAGCCAGCTGGAAGTTGGACTCCTGAATATCAATACAATGGACTGGATGTTCTTTATTCCTGCATTAAGATCCTCACAGTTTCATCAGCCTTCTTTGGGGAGGGCAGAATCTTTACAAGGCTCTGACAAAGGGAATTGCTGAGCCTTTAAAAAAAGAAACCAACAAACCTGGGGGGGGGGTCACTGTGGGAGTCCTAGGGGCCACATCCTGACCCTAGGGCTACATCCAGCCCTGGGCCATATTTCATTTAGATGAATGTGTGTACACACAATTACAGAAAATGGGGAAAATAAAATTTTTAAAAGTAACAGTCTGAGCTATAGTATTGCCTGATTTCCTCCAAATGTAATAAGCTAGTTGAGCTGGATTTTGAGCACAGAAACTCAGGAAGTTTGAGCAGAACTAGGCCTAGCTCAGTCTCAAAGTTTCCAGTTTAGGCATTTCTCCCTGTTAAGCTACATAGAGGTGTCTATATGATACCTGTCTCAGCCATCCAAATTACCAGATGAACATGAACCAATTACACACACTCTCACCCTGAGGAGGCGGACAGCCATACGCTATGCCTTAAACTCAACACATCATAAATAATATGAAGTAAGGAACGATGACCTTTGTTCACTGCCATGTTCCCCACCCCCCTTTTGCATACAGGTGATCTAGTGTCATGTAAACACACAATCAAAGATCGGAATGAAAAGAAACTTACGCTGAGAAATCTGGAGCCTGGTACAACCTACCTGCTTGCTGTTCAAGCTTATAGTGTCAATCCTAGAAATATGGCTGACAAATTTGAACCAGTAACTACACAACTTGAGCGTAAGTCCAAGAACTCGTATGTGCCTGATTGGCTTTAAGTTTGTGTCAGCTGCAAATTTTAAAAGGGGTGTTTGTTTTACAGGCATATGACCAAGCCCAGCTCTTTTCTGAGGTTTAGGTTTTAAGAAACTGGTATGGTTCGTCCTCCTAGAGTCCTCTAGCCAAATATAGTTGTTATGGTCCTTTTAAAAAAACATTTTTTAACTTTCCAAGGTCTGCCTTATATTATAGTGGTTTATGCCTTGATGGGCCTTAATGCTGCTCCTTTCCTAGTAATCAGATGGTTGTTTCTGGCTGTGGAAGGCTGAAATTTCAGTGTGCCTCCCTAGAACAGACCATGGCAACTTCAAAATACATGTGGAAATAATTTTGTTGGTGGCAAGTGGTTTAGGTATCTAGCTGTGGAGTTTGAGGTTGGGAGTTCTGTTCCCCACTGTGCTTTCTGGGAGAAGAGCCAGCCTATGTGCCCTTGGGCAAGCTTCATAGTCCCAGAGCACCCCCAGAAGAAGGGAATGGTGAACGATTTGAGTATTTTGTACTTGGAAAACCTTGAAAAGGGACACTGTAAGTCAGAATTGAGCCCGAGAGCGTGCGCAGGGGCCCCACCTTCCTCAGAGGCTCAGCCAGTCCGCTGTCCCAAAAAGGTTGGGGATCACTGCTAAGGGAACTTCTATGTTAAAGTGGGATGTGTATTCTCTAGGATTAACCTATGAACTGGATGCCCACCCATCCCATTATCTTCTCTTGTCCCGAGAGTGGAATTTAAACTCTTAATGGGAGGCTCTTAGAAGACCAGAGCAACCCTGTGCATAAAGTAAATGTTCAGCACAATCCTATGTGGACAAATCTACATACGTGTCAGTCCCACTTTTGATTAAATTCCTCAACAAGGATTTCTTCAGAGACACATACCTTTGGAATTATACTGGCAAAGTGAGTATGTGTTTGCCTTCCAATGACCAATCACAAAACAAAGCATGCTACATACAGGATATGAGGTGAGGGAAACCATATTCTGTGATAAGCATTTTTCCTCCCATCTTTTAGTCAGTCATTATGTTTGATCCTAAGTCTTCGGCATGCATACTATTGAACTCTTATTTCTGTTCTTGAATTTTATCTAACTGTATTTCTTCTGATAGTGGCCAACAGCCTAAAATAATTCTGTCTTAGATTATTTCCTCCTGTTTGAAATGGGAATGGAAGGAAGTGCTGCAATTTATAAGATTTTTAACAATCATAAGAAATTCTAGTTTATAAATAGATATAGTTTTTATTTCATTTTGTTTTATTTGGCAGGAAATTGGTTCCATAGACTACTTCCACCACTGATAACTGTGCCATTAATGATAATAATTTGTGTATGTTTCTGGAAAAGTGACTGGTAAGTTTAGAGAAGAAAAACTTTTCTGTACTGATATTTTATTAATAATAATTAAAAAAAATAAAAGCCACAGATTTGGAGACCCCTTTGCCATATGAAGTAAAGTTGGTATTCTCCAAGAGATCTCAGGGCTGGTTCACACTTTTTCAGTATTCGGGGGAGTGGGATGCTCATAGGGGGAAAGACAAGCTGTATACATGCTTAGGATAATACCTTTTAGTCTCAGCCTAGAGAGAACAGAACACAGTTTTTATTAGGCTGTGCTGCTTATTCTTGATTGGTTTTTTAAAAAATTACAACATGTGACACAATCGGGCCTGCAGCTAGTGTGCAAACTGGGTATGTCTGAGTACGCAACAGATAGCCACAGTGATGTCTTACCCAATTTTGGGTTTATGCTGCACAGACTCAATAGAATTATGTTTACAAAGGCTCCCTTTGTGATATATTTGTGAGTCTTGAAGGCACCATAATGATCCTGTTTCAATTTGTTGTTGTTGCAGAAACAGAGTAACTTGACTGCCTCATTGAAACCTATTATACAGTACAACTGTTTACATAATGGGAGGTCTTGTGGCATTTTCAAGACTACTGTAATAGCTTTTCTCTGGCATATGCTTTCCTAGCTCAGTGAGCTGTGTTGCAGCTTAGGTCAGATAAAACTTGCCAGTTGTTTCTCTTTCCTGGTGTAGTCATCTAGATTAGTTTGGCTGATTGGGGAAAAAGGTTACCGTATTTGCTGGCGTACAAGATGACTTTTTGGCCCTGAAAAACATGCCTCCAAGTGGGGGGGTGTCATCTTGTACGCCGGGTGCATGTCTAGCAAACCCTCCCTCTCTCCCAGCGAAGTCACTTACCTGGTAGTAAGACCCAGTAGAGCCCCGCTCCTAGCCTGGGAACAGCCTGACTCTAGCACTGAACAGCTGACTGTCGGAACAGCAGAGAGGCGGCAGCCATTTTGAGATGCGACCACATGGCTGCTGCCTCTCCAAAATGGCTGCCGCCTCTCCAAAAAGGAACCAAAACGGGCAAAAGGAACTCTCCCCATGATGCAGCCAAAGCAGAATTACGCAGGCGGAAGAGGTGGTAGTCTTATACAGCAAGTATATAACAAACTCTATATTCTGAGTGGGAATGTTGGGGGGTGGTTTTATACACCCAGTCGCCTTATACACCGGCAAATATGGTACATTGCATTACTATCCTGTCAGTTCAGATTTGGCTATATGATGACAACCTCTGTGGACATTTGAAAGTGTGGGTGAGATGTGGAAAATGAGTGAACGGGGAAACATTTTTAAAATGTATGCCGAAAACTCCTCAACCAAAGGAGCAATTTTGACACGTTTGAAAATGTTTGTGGAAAATTAAATGATTTCAGTTAGAATCATAGAATCATTGAGTTGGAAGGGACCTATAATATGGCCATCGAATCCAACCCCCTGCTCAATGCAAGAATCCAAATCAAAGCAGATCTGACAGATGGTTGTCTACTTTTCTCTTCAGTGCCTCCAGAGAGAGCTCTCACCCCCTCCTGAGGCTTATTATCATTATAATTTTAATCTTAAATCTTCAACCCACATGGCTTCCTCTGCCATTCTGTTCTTGTGTTCTATGAACTGGTCTCCAGTAGACTGGTTCCAGTTGCTTCCTTTGGGTTACATATTTTTCATCTCTTTACAGGTGTTGTGTTTAAACAAATAAATCCTTGGCTTATGGTCCGAGGTGGGAAAGTGGCTATTTTAGAGTGAGCCCCTCTCCCCCAGCTGGATCCCAGGCCAACCTGCAAAACAAAAGCAAAACCAAAAAATCCACACTAATAGCTTATTCCTTACCTCTGTTTTCTCTGTTTTTTCTAGCGTGAGAAATTACTTGTTCCCAGAAGTCCCCCATCCTCATGTATCTCCAGTTAAGGTAAGGGAAAAATCACTAGCTGAATCTCAGTAGCTGAGGAGTGTTTCCCTCTCATAAATTAAGGACTGGGTTACATGTCATTGTTTCTTTAAGAATCTTGTCCTTAAACCTTCATTGTTTAGGGCAGCATATTTTAATCCTTCCTGAGAGCTGTGACAACATCTTAGAATAATTGTTCTGTGTATACTCTTGTTCTCAGTGCACATAATGTTAAACAATGCCTCCTGAGGCTTATTATCATTATAATTTTAATCTTAAATCTTCAACCCACATGGCTTCCTCTGCCATTCTGTTCTTGTGTTCTATGAACTGGTCTCCAGTAGACTGGTTCCAGTTGCTTCCTTTGGGTTACATATTTTTCATCTCTTTACAGGTGTTGTGTTTAAACAAATAAATCCTTGGCTTATGGTCCGAGGTGGGAAAGTGCAGCTCCCCTGGCTATTTTAGAGTGAGCCCCTCTCCCCTAGCTGGATCCCAGGCCAACCTGCAAAACAAAAGCAAAACCAAAAAATCCACACTAATAGCTTATTCCTTACCTCTGTTTTCTCTGTTTTTTCTAGCGTGAGAAATTACTTGTTCCCAGAAGTCCCCCATCCTCATGTATCTCCAGTTAAGGTAAGGGAAAAATCACTAGCTGAATCTCAGTAGCTGAGGAGTGTTTCCCTCTCATAAATTAAGGACTGGGTTACATGTCATTGTTTCTTTAAGAATCTTGTCCTTAAACCTTCATTGTTTAGGGCAGCATATTTTAATCCTTCCTGAGAGCTGTGACAACATCGGCAGCATATTTTAATCCTTCCTGAGAGCTCTGATTTCTTGCCAGAAACCTACATAGTAGACCCATATTGGAAGCATTTTACCACATCGTTCCATACACTGGTATAAAAAGTAACAACTACATCTATGTAGTTTTTTTTTCTATAAACAAATTAATAAAGAAAAAAATAGCTGGATTAAAAACATTTTCCAAAATCTATTGATTTTTATCACTAGCATTTTTTGTCCCTGCATAATCTACACAGACAAAAAAAATTCATCCCGTTTTTCAGTGAACAACGACACAGTGAAGCAGAGGTGATTTGTTAAGCTTATAAACAGGTTGCCCCATTGGGGAAAATTTAATGGATACTGGAACTCACTTGAGACAGGAGACTCTCACAATACAGGAAGTGTTATTTTATTTTATTTGTCTGTTTTCTGGCCTTGGGCATTTGTGTAAAAGACTATACTTTACCATTCTTTAGTCTGTAATATTCTGTATACAGCACTCTTGCCTGTCCTTTGTTTGGAAATAAGGTCCATGAAGCTCAGTAAGAGTAATTTCTGAGCAGACCATCCAGGATCACACTGCTAAAAATAAATAATCAAGATTAATATGAGCCGAGAACAAATGTTTCTTTATACAAGTCAGAAGACAACATGTTAGAATAATTGTTCTGTGTATACTCTTGTTCTCAGTGCACATAATGTTAAACAATGAAGACTCCAATGGGACTTGGAAGTCTATCAAAACCTGATAGATTTTGCAGAAGTTTTCATGGAGAAGAAAGCCCACATCTTCAGATGCATAGAGAGTTACCTCAATTGAGAGACATTTAACTTTATAAATATCTGTCTACTGAAGCTATACTCCAAGCATCTGAACATGTTGTCTCATGTCTATGAACACTTATGTCAAATAGTTTTTTTCATTCTTAAAGATGTAATAGGACTCTTCATTGTCTTTGCTGTAGCAAGGCTACCTCCTGCATATCATGAGCCTGACAACACCAGATTCCTTGTTTTGATGATTAAATTTCCTTACCCCCTTGTGGTGTCTTTCACAAATCACACTCTCTGTTCACCCTCTCACTCCAGCCCTCTATAACATTGGAAGTTGTGCTGTGGAGCCTGTCCCAGCCCTCCAGAGTAGATACTTATGGTGCTAAAGGACTGAGTGAGGATAGAGGATCTGATACCTCCAAGGTTTCCTGATAGGCTTTTTCAGACACTGTAAAGATATCTCAGCCTAAAGGCCTTCCGAATGGGGGTACTCTTGTGACACCCAGGGCTTGTGAGTCATCCTGAAAATCAGGTGGAGACACCTTCTGTAACTGAAGAGGCCACAGGAAAGCAATCTTGCTGTCCCATCTTCTGTGGTCATTATGGCTGAAGGACAAGCTTTCTGTTTTCATTTTTTAAAAAAATTAATTTCTAATTCAGTTGCTCTCTGTATGTTCTGCAGAAAACCCTTGTCATAATAGAAGATCGTGAGGTAACTCCTGACAGATTAGTTGTGATGAAGAAACCTGACATTTCCATTGACAGTCTACTTTTTGAGGGCAGGGCCATTGAAAATGCAATGTACTTCAATCCAAGTTGTTGCCAAAGTCTACAAGACCAAGAGGGAGCCAGCAGGAAACTCTCCTGCGCGTCGACGTCCTACAGGCCGCTCTAAGACTTTATGAAAAGCAGACCCACTACCAGCTGCCCACCAGAAACGGGTCAAAGCAATTTAAATTATGTCTCCCAAATCAAAGTGCCTCTTTTGGGGGTTCTGCAAGGTGCCTCGCTTAGTTCCAGGGAGCCCTGAGTTTGGGCAACTGACAATATGACTGTAATATGTTGCATGTTGGAAGGTCCATCACAACTTGGAATCATAAAATGACTGCTCAATTAAATGGTAAGCCTCTGACTAGAGATCATATGAATTATGACTACAAGGCACTGCCTGCAATTTATGGTATTGACAAACCACAGGCCTTGACAGCCTCTCTGTATCAGCTAAATGCAAACAAGGACAACTGGATAAACTTAAAAGTTCATCATGCTAATGAACTGGATGTATCTGTGCTGCAAGGAAAAAGCATCTGTCTTCTCTGTAACTGATCACTCTCTCTGTTTGCAGTCAAGTCCAGAAGGCAAAAGTATAAGGTGAAAAGCTGGAACAATAAAAGTGCACAATGAGATTCCTGAAATGGTGTACAGAATAGAGAAGGGGCATTTGTTGAAAGTGTAGGCAAATGGAAATTTTTTTTTACCTGAAGCACTGTGAGGTCTGATATGCAATTTCCAGATCAGTCCCAACTTTATCAAAGGCAGCAAATGGTTCAGTCACTGAACAGCAGTGGCATGGCAGGGTGAAATAAAGGTTAACTGAGGTCAGGGATACTGCCACACGCCTTAATGTTCCACTTGTTAGAACTTTGAAATGCTGTTCTGTATTCTGGTTACAACTGCCCATTGCTTTCTGTAGAAAATCTAACTGTTGTTTCAGCAACACTTCACCTATCATGAATGCAGTGCAAAATTGGCTGGTGGAAATATCACTCCTATCCTGGGTCACCTTTGGGATTTATAGATTTTTTTTTGCTTATCTGTATTGTCTAGGTCACCCACCTTGTGTAACCCAGGTGTTCTTGGATTGCAACTCCCGGAAACCCCAGCCAGTACAGCTGGTGAAGGTTTCTGCGAGTTACAGAAGCTGGAATTACTACATTTTAAAGAGTTGCCTCTTCTTCATGGATTGCTGCCTTGTCGTGGCGAAGGGGCTTGAGTAACTCAGAGAAATAAAGAGTTGCCTGCCTGAAGGATTATGGAAGTTGTAGCACTGCACTAGGGAACGCACTATGCACGACAGGTTGAACAACACAGGAAAAGTTGGTATGGACTGGTAGGCCTGAGCGGCAACAAGGTGGTGAAGGATGATTCCAGAGAGCTGCAGCTCAGCCCTTTGAAACCCTGGAGTAGGGAAATAACCTCCTCTGTAGATTGTGGCTGTTTCAAACAAATAGCTTTGGGACTCAGGAGCTGACCTTTCTGTTACACTGAAATATGGTTGGCCAAAGATCTGCTTCCTGCAATCCAAGACCATTCTCACACACTTGCAGCTGCTAGCAAGGCAAAAGATAGGTAGGTAGGGTGTGTCCCCTCTGCGAGTCTGTATTAATTGCAGATTTCCGCTGTAAAATGTTGAAGTGGAAATGCTGGTTTAACTGTATGATGATATGTCTTCACTTTTGGGTGTGGGCACAAAAAACATACATGGAAGTCACAGACATACACACACATCATGCCATTTTTTTCCAATGCATGATTGATAATCTATATACAAGCTTCTGTTGTATTTGCTGTGTAAATCCTCTGACACTTGGGAACGAAATGGGATCAAGAAAACAAGCAATGCTTTTTTCTTCTTCTTTGCTTCAAATGGGTGCTTTGCTCCATCGTCTCTCTCTCCCCACCCCCCAAAAATTAGGTCCTTTATTTTCCCCAGTGGGCCAAAGTTGTACCCAGAGATGATCTAAGGCTATCCACAGATGCAAATAATTTGAATATTTATTTAAATTTCAGCAGATATGCAGGGAAAAAGATCCACAACGTAAAAGAAATCAAAGGAAAATCAGTGAATTTCTGAAATAGTAAAATGCAATGGTGAAGTGAAAAGTGTAAAACAGAACAACCTGTATCAAAGTGTTGTATAAAATTGTAGTTGTTCTAAATTAGCCACAGTTAGCCCTTAAAAATACTAAAGTTGCCTGTAAACTTCAACCAGTTCTCTACTTTAAGACCAGTCTGTTCAGCAATTTTTGGCTTAAAGGCTGAGAAAGAAAGACATATTGCTATGTATTTCAAGGAACACCCCCCCCTGCACACATGCATGCACACCCCTGCATGCCCAGACAGATGGCCGCATGCCCACCCACACGAGCTAAAGAGAATGGGCCAGGCAAAACAGCAACGTCGTCTAGATTTGGCCTATGGGCTGTAGTTGGGAAACTCCTGTCCTAGAAGAAGCAGTCTAACCCATTTTAAAACCTGAAGTGTCTTTCTAAATCAAGGCAAGTTAAGGCCCAAAGACCCACAAGCAGTCAAAACCTGCAAGACTAAAAATGACATGAGAAAAAGTGAACTCAAAAGCAACTACATGTATGAATGAACGTGACTCTTGAGTTTCCTTGTCCCAAGCAACAATTGCTTTTTGTTCCACTGACACTCCTAATTTCCCTGCATTCTGGTTGAGTCCCTTACCTTCACGCCTAGAATTCAGTTCTGTGCTAGCAGATGGCAAGCTGGAAGAAAAAAATGCATTACACCATCTCTCGTTATTCCTGGAAAATAAATCATCCCTTTGTCCTGCAGCTCATGATGTGACCATTGCATCTTGTCAGGGTACACTCTGGGCCTGGAGCCACTGGAAGTATCCAACCTTGTAGCCTGTCCACACTGTTCCATTGTCTTCCAGCTTAGCCAGAACCTTGTTGCCCAAGCAATCATGTATCTGTCTTCTTTTTGCTCATTCCATCAAACAGAAGTCCAGTCTGCAAGGAATCCTCAGCCAACTGGAAACAGTCAATTGTGCTGTTTAGGAAACAAACCTAAGATTTCTTTGATGTTATTCCATAGGCTAGCCATGCCACCAGTCAGTAATCCATTCCATAGGACATGTATCTGCAGGCTAGTTCAGTGCTTACACATCTACAGGCTTTTTGCCCAGTGTATCCTTATACCAATGCGTTGGACCTGATTTACACCCCTGTCAATCTGGAGCCACGTGGTCATGCTATAAATCAGTGGTTCTTAACCTTGGTTATTCAGGTGTTTTTGAACTGCAACTTCCAGAAACCCCAGCCAGCACAGCTGGTGGTGAAGACTTCTGGGAGTTGCAGTCCAAAAACACCTGAGTAACCCAAGGTTAAGAACCACGGCTACAAATCATTCCCTTCCTAAAGAGATTTTCTGCATTCTAATCCTGGTTTATGGTCTCTACAGTTCTTAAGACAATGATATTGCTTGAAATGTTTACATTAGATTACTAACAAACGGGAGGAAATGGGACGTTTTTGAAAAAGCATGGCTGTTAAATTGAATTAATGATACTGGGTGGTTGTTAGAAAGAGGACAGGGAAGAAACTCCCCCTGTTGGCATGCCACCCCCCTTTCCCCCTTGAGACAACTGAGTTTGAGACATCTAGCTCATCCATAGACACAGGCAAGGATGTGGCAGGAAGGGAATCTCCAGAGCTTCCTGACAGTCCAGGTAACACCAGAAAGCCTGAGAAAGAAACAACAGTTGAAGGAGGAAGAGCCAGAGGGAAAAAAAGAGTAATAAAAGCAACAACAGACTTAGAACTGCAAAGCTGTTCTAAGATCATCAAGTCCAACCCTTGTCAAAGAGGCACAGTGGGGAATTGAACTCCCACCTTCTCGATTTGCAGTCAGAGACCTGAACCAATGATAAAAGAAGGAGAGACGGGGAGGAGGAGTTAGAGAAAATAAGAGAAGAGAGGCACAGAAGTGTAAAGAAGAAAGGGGGATAATTGTGGAAAAATGAAGGAAGATGTTTATTTAGGAGAAGAGGAAAAGATGAAGGGGGCCGAGTTGCTAGATGGATGGGAATAAATAACAAAGGAGGACCCAAGGATGGCTTAGTGCAGCTTAAATTACCTAGGGATGAAATGGAGCATCAGGGGTGACACCAGCCCCCCACCCCCGAAGTTATCCTTTTGGGGACAGTGAGAAAGGAGTTAATGCCTCCAGAAGCAAGAAACAAGGGCCAGGGATCTGACCAAGAAACAAGGATGGAATGGAGTCCCCCCCCCCGCAAGTTGCCCAAAGAATCTACCAAGGAAGGGAGGGAGAGATCCAGGTGGGAGATGGGCCAGACCATCCCTGTTGCAGCACCCTGTGAATGGCTCAACATTAACCCACTTCTCTGCTCATCTGAAAAGGAGACCTCTGAAAAAACAAGCCAGACGTGGAGACTGAAACATGGACCATATTAGGGAATTACCTAGTACTGTTTTGTTTCTGTGGCAGAAACATAGAATCGTCATAGGGTTGGAAGGGACCGTGGAAGTCTTCTAGTCTAACCCCCTGCCCAAGGCAGGAGACCTCATACCATCTTGGACAGATGGCTGCCAATCTTTTCTTGAAAACCTTGAAATCTTTTCTTGATGGGGCACCCACAAAACTCGTGTTCCACTGCTTCATGGTTCTCACCGTCAGGAAATTCTTCCTTATTTCCCGGTTGGATCTCCTCTGAAGAGTTTCCACCCATTGGTTCTTGTCCTACCCTCAGGTGCAGTGGAGAATTAACTGATGCCCTCTTCCCTGTGGGAACCCTTCAGATATTGGAAGACTGCTATTCTATCTCCCCTCATCGTTAAGCTAAACATACCTAGTTCTTTTAGTTGTTCTTCATAGGATTTAGCCTACAGTTCCCTTATCATTTTTATTGCTCTTCTCTGCACCCCTTCCAGGAACTTAACATCTTTTTTGTATTGCAGTGACCAGAACCAATTATGGGTGAACCTCCTTATTTTTTTTTTTTAAAAAAACTATACCAAAATAAACACTTAACAACTCCAAAACGAGTAGCTCAATTCTTTAAAATAGTAAGGCGATTTTGCAGCTGGTCCTTCAGTGACAACCCTTCCAGGGAAGAGACACTTAGAATGTCTATTTCACCTGACACTAAGGCTAGAAACACAATTTTAAATCTGATGATGAAGAATCTTGGATTTCCCAGTTTAAGTGGTATTAATAAGCTATAACACCCCCTAGTGGGTAAGAAAAAACCCTCCAAGGCCACTTTAAAACAGCGTATTACAAGGCATGGAGCGATAATAAAGTCCAAATATTAAAAACTAACATTCCTTAAAACAGGGAATGTTATCATTTCATATCACTTTGAGATATCATTTTGTATATAGGAAACAGTATATGAACTGATTAAATAGATTACAGTCAAAAAAAGTTAACAACCAGAAAGATTATCAATCACCTGTTGATCTACGAGCTTATAGAAAGTAACACGATTACTAAAAGCCACCAATGGTTTCTCAAAAGAAAGGTATGCCACACTTACCTTTCTTTTTCCTTGAGAAAATTCACTAAGACTTTTATGATACCCTTTTGGGATGATATTTATAAATCACTTAGATCTGGAAATGTCAAAGCAATGTGAAACAAATAGTATATATAGCCAATATTACATATGTTTCAAATATACAATACAAAATGTGGGCTAAGTAATGCAAACTATATGTGGATTTGTAGCAGGTGGGGGGGCAGACCCAAAGCATGCTCTTTATCCTAGAGAAAATGGACAAGTTAGGCTCACCTAAAGGCCTATCATAGGCCTATTACTTCTCAACACCTTTCTAAATGGCTTGGATGATGGAATAGAAGGCATGCTCATCAATGGTTGTTGTGGGTTTTTCAGGCTCTTTGGCCGTGTTCTGAAGGTTGTTCTTCCTAACGGCATCTTCAGAGGACAGCACTCAATGCTCATCAACTTCGCATATAAAACTAAACTGGAAGTAGCTAAAATATCAGAAAACAGTGTTCAAGATTGGAAAACCAGGCCAAATAAAATTTCAACAGATTAATGAAAAGTTCTATTAGATTAAGGCATCCTTCAGTCTTTGAGAGACTATGGTAAGTGTGAAGCTGGAGTGTCCTCTCCAGAGCACGAAGCCTGGGTAAAATAATACGGACAGGCTGTTACCCAAGCAGCAAATCCCCCCTCTCCATGTCACTGAAATAGTCCAATGGAAAGGCAAGAGCCAATACAACTGGTTCTAGCGACGTCGCAGGAGTTGCCAGAACGGCCCGAACTGCCTCCAGGACTCCAGCTCCGGATATTGCCTTGAGGTTAACTCCTGAAGCCTTTTCGATTGATGGATATAGCCACAAGGCAGTGGAGGTTTGAAATCAGCCTTTTCCTTCTAGATGGGCTGCCTTCCAAGGCTAACAAGCCATACCTACCCAGGGAAAAGTTCTATATTCAGACATGAAAAATCAGATTCATGAAGATTGGATGGGTTACGCTGCATGTACCAGTAATACATTTAAAACCAATCTTAGCAGGCCATGGGCTGAATAGAGTGATGCAGAGTGATTTTAAGTTGTGTTTACAGGAGAACAAGCAAAGTAATTTACTTTTACTTTGCCATTCTCAGCTAGGGTCCTGTGGCCCCCTGGCACATTTGAAGGGGGCCATTGACTGAAAAAAAATTATGTTCTATTTTTGTATTCATCTTTTGGGATTGTATCCTTGTTTGACAGGGGCTCCTGGAACCTGAAAATAGCTCCTTAAAAGGGCCATGGTAAAAAAAAATGAGAAGGGCTGCTCTAGGCAATAAAATTTCAGAATGATACAGAAAATTGGAACAGGCCCAGAAGAGGACAAGAAAGATGGTAAAGGAGATGGAAGTCAACCCCCATGTGGAACAGTTCAGAGCTGGGCATGTTTTGCCTGAAGACAATTGAGAAGTGGTATGCAAACTCTTCAAACATGTGAAGGGCCGTCACACAGAAGATGGAACAAACTTGTTTTCTGCTACTGGAGAGAGCAGAGTCCCAATGCATGTTCATAGTGCAAGGACATTTAACTTAAAACACTTGTTATGTGCCATCGTCACCTTAATTTATGGTGACCCTATGAATGAGCACTCTCAAAAATGTCCTGTCTTCAACTGCGCCATTCAGCTGTTGTAAGACCTCAATCAGTCACAGTAAGAGCCCTTCAATAGTGGTAAGGGAACTCTGCTTCATTGGAAGTTTTTATCCGTATGTTAAAATGGCTATCAGTTGTGAATTTCTTACATTGATTGGGGTTCGATTAGACAGCCCTGGGGATCCCTCCCAACTCTACAACTCTTTGATGTATGCTTTCTTATTATCTAATTGGCATTAGTGATTCCCAAACTGCAGTCCTCAAGCACTGGACAACTCCCAGACTACCTTACCATGGGCACGGGTGGCTGGTATTCATGTCCAAGAAAGAGGAACTGCCTAACTGGTACTGAAATTTTCCATGAAGGTGACTGGTCAACTGCAAAGGAACAGCCATGCTGTTTATAAGGACTTTGGGATACAGGAAAACTGACACTCGTTTTATGAAGACAACTGTATGGAAGTTTAAAGTTCATTTTATTAACAATGCATCCCTTTGATAAGATAATGCTTCAGGAGGCTTTATTGTTCCCAGACATGAACTGTACACACTATACAAAACAAAAATCCAAACCAAAAAACATAAACAAAACAAAAAAAGGTATCAAGATGAGCAGAACCAAATGGGAGAAAGCCTCTTTAAAATTATACACAGCTCAATGAAATATTCATACAGAAAATATATAAATACTTTTTCCTTTCTATGTTACAGGTATACAATATAAATCAGATTTCAAAGTTCATTCAGTGACCTACAAACAATAGAACTTTCAAATACATAGCAGCTTGTCAACTAAAATATACAAAAAAGAAAGTCTGACAACATGGGGCAGGGAAAATTGAATTTCAAAGTTTTTCATAATCTCTTTCCCTCCTCAGAACGACTAATGTACATAATCTCTAATACACATTGTTTGGGTTATTGGCAGCCATTATTTGATGCACATTTTACCCCCCCCGCAACAATTAAGCCTACGAAATGCCACCCCCACCTCAAAGTTCTTGCATTTTGTGCTAATCTAACCTACGCAGTGGAAAACTGGCAAGTTACCCTTTTTTGGCATAAATTACATTATTTTATTTTATTTTTTCAAATTAAATAGTGTCTATTTTACAAGGAAGTCAAGCAAAAAAGTGCAATTTCTGCATGCTGTGGCATTGCTATCCACCTATTTTACAAAAATAGTCCAAAGAAAAACCATATTCTTTACTTTTTATTGAACTTTCTTTTTAAAAAAGGTTAACAAAAATATGTAGCAAATCTGGAGTTTTTAAGAAGATAAACTTAAATAAAATCCTAAAGTCAAGACTAAGCTATTGCCTTTTCTAGACAAGGGAAATTGCTAATAGGGATTCTACTGTGTTCCCATGATCGCTAGCCAGAACATGTTACAGGACAATAACCAATAAAATCTGCTAAACACAGGCCCGTCTACAATGTTGTGTTCTTCTGAATCAGAGGACAAGCAGAACAGCTAGATAAGGAAGGACAGCCACCAATCATCTTCCAGATCTTTTGAATTCCAACTTGCACAATACCTAACCTCTGGGGGAGTGATGGAAGTTACAGAGCAAGACATCTGAAAGACACTAACCCTAGTGGGTTACCCCTGGCCTACTTAATATGATTGCTGTAGAATAAAATTGCAAGAGAACAGTTTTCTTTTTTAAAAAATTATAAAAAGAAAAGACATATTTAAGGCAAGATTCAGCTAAGTTAAGCACTTCTCTCAAGTTTGAAAGTGCCTTGTTTTGGTTGAATCAAGCCCTCTGAAACTTACATTCACTTTATTAAGGGCCATCAACTTTCTAAAATCTTAAAAGAGTGAGGAAGGGAATAAACTCATTTAAAAAGGAATAATCAAATTCCATAATATTCCTCTCTCTGCCTTAGATTGCAAAGCAACCTCTCCCAACTTGGTGCCTAGAAACTGTTTTGGACCACAACTCTCATCATGCCTCGTTAGCATGGTCACTGGGCATGGTGTTTGAAAATGATGCGAGTTATGTTCCAACCCATCTGACAGCAATAGGCTGGGGAACATTGTACAGTGTTCCTGATTACAATTTGTAGCTTTTCTGAACAGCATTTTCTGCTGCCTTGCAAGCATTTTTAGCATATATTTGGGAAAACAACTGCAAAATACTCTTTGTAGCTTTTCTGAACAGCATTTTCTGCTGCCTTGCAAGCATTTTTAGCATATATTTGGGAAAGCAACTGCAAAATAGCCTGAGAATGTGAGAGAGAATGAAGAGGTTCAGCAAAGTTCCCCTAATGTACAATTAGATGCTGGCTATGCCCCTTCAACTCCCCAGGGAATCATTTAGAATTCCAATTCAGATATTTCCCAGCAACACTGGAGGGACAGAATCAGTATCCAAGGAGACACTGGGAGCACACGAGTTATTTACATGCGTCATATCCTCATGAATTCAAGCTGGCTGGGGCAAATCAAGTTCTACCCAAGTCAATCTCCACAATGGAATCTCCTTTCTACAATAAAGCCTAATCAGACAATGTTTAAAATTTAATCTTCAGACTCTTGAACTCATCTGATATTTTCTAGCATGCTAAAAATGAAGAGGAACGAAATGGATAACTGATATAAATACAAAGCATGAAATGAATGTTTTTCCTCAGTCTTCTTTCCAGATCTGTCCAATCCTTGGTCACAGTTATAAATGAGAGCTTGGATCATAACTCTCATTCTGTGAACAAAACATGTTCACAGTATGGGACTTCTCTGCCGCTTTACCTCTACACCCTGAAAAGAACTGCTCCTGCAGATTAGAGAACATTTTGGAAAGGCAGAAGAGTGGTGGAAAGCTGAGGATGAAGAAAAGAGTTGGATGAAATGATAAATAATTTAGGATTGAAATCTACAGCCTAAATCCAATTGTTAGTCCCAACCAAGCACAAAGGACCTACCGAATCCTCAGGACTCATGTAAGTTCTGACTCTCCATTCAATTCAGACCTCTAAAAGATACTAAGAACTGTTAAGAATGAAAAGGTTTTCTAAGCCTCTCTTAGACACAGGCTACTGCTATCTGCAAATTAATGCAGATTGAAATGTTCAATTTGAGGGATACCCCCACCAAACAGCTTGGCTACAGCACAACATTAATTTTATTACTAAATTCTCTTTCACCAAAACAAAAACAAGGACTGGCTGTCAGTTCCAAATATTTTGTCCTATACAGCCTTTAGCTATTTCCATTACCAACACAAGACTTGAAACACTTCTTTTAAAATATCCCATGTTCATATAATATCCACTGTGCATGTGAATCTCTTTTGTCATCTCTCCTGCTCCAAATTTCTGTGTTCAAACAGTTCCCCCAAACACAGTAATATACTGGGGCTGGAATGTTTGGTCTTCCATATGTCACAGACTTCAATACCCAGAAGCCTGAGTCAGAATAACCAACAGTTAGGGATTTGATTACAACTGTACTCAAAGGTGTCTGGAGGACTGAAAGCTTCCCAATTAACTGTTACAGTTAATTCCAAAACAGTTGGAAGCACCAATGCTTTTGCTGAATGTACTTAACTATGTCAAACGGAGATGGCATGTATCAAGGAATTTCTATAGGGACTGGATGTACTTGTGTAGCATCCCTCATCTCCCATAAGCCAGATGATTTCTTCTTGAGCATTTGGTTCATGCTCAAAGAGAAATTCCTCTTCTGAAGCACCTACAGCAGGCTTGCACAATTTCTGACTTCTATGCCAAATACAGCTCACTGGACAGGTATAGTAGTGCCTCAATATGCCTTCCGTTCATTTTGCCCAATGCAGGACTGTAAGAACACAGGAAACTGTCAGGAACTCTCAACTGATAATACAGGGTTACTGAGTTTCATTTGGATTGATGGGTCAAAAATGGTGCAGGTATGATCCAAGGAATTGCTAATGGCTGGCCTTGAGTGGAATTTTGCCCAAAAGCAATCTTCATTCAAACTATTCACATTCCCACAGGAACAATCCACCTGATATATTCTCCAGAGCTAATCAAACAAGCTAACAAATTAAGTATAAAATGTTACATGGGAAATAATTCTGATGTTACATCTTCTACACACCTAGCATTTGCAGAGTATTTTTATATATACAAACACTGGTTGGTACTGGAAAATTTATTTTTTGTTACTTCTTGGTGAGGCTGCTGCCAATAGAGCCCTTCTGGAACCATATGCCAGATGGAAGAAAGAGTTTTTGATGTTCCCAAAAGTAGTAGAACATGGTGGATAAATATGCATTGCTATCTTAGTTTATATATACACACACAAACTGACATCTGAGTTTTAATTCTTTTTGCAATGATTTCTAATACCCTTTTCACTACAGGCTGTAGTCAGGAAGCTTACCCACCTGGAAATTTTCTTTCTCTGTCAAATACAGATTTTAAAAATTATTTACTTCTGCCTTGAAATGCAGAATACAGAGTTAACAAATTAACTTACATAGAGTTATCTAGCCAAAGACCCAACTAATCTATTCTAAATGAGGTAGTGTTCACAGCTACTGTGTAAAATCAGCTATTTCTGTTTTGACAAGGAATACTACATTAATCCTTTGGAGTTCACACCATTATTTGGTCTACCGTGGTTGGTTATTTTGGTTTTGCAGTGGAGGTGTACCAAAGACCAAAGGATCCCTCTGCCAATGCTGATGGTTTTATTATTATTATTATTAAATTATTTTAAAGGGCAAATCACTTTATAAAAGCAGTTTTGCCTACTATTACGGGAAGGAGTAAAATAGCCAACTGGGTTCTTATCTCTGAGTTACTCTGAATGGATGAATTCTGCTATCAATCCAAACACAGAACCTTACTCCACAATTTGAGAAAAACTGGAAGGTGTGGAAAAACTGTGTATATGAATGCTGTGTTTTTCCTGCAGCCTCCCAGCTGAAAATCTTGAAGTAGTATCTAGCAATTTCAAAAGACCTTATAGGGGTTGTCTTGGTGACTGTGGCTGTAGTTCAAGGAGAGGGTCTTGGCGAATCCCTCTTCCTTTCCACCTGCCATTATGAGACATGTCCTCCTGGAAGACAGTCACTAGGGAGAATGGATAGAAGAACAGAGGGACTTCTTTGCTCTTCCTGGAGTGTAAAGATGGGACAAGTTTTAATACCTATCACTTGGGAAAGCAAGATAAATTTAGGTTCTGATCTCCTATATCTACAGCACACTTAAAAGTATGCTCCACCCCTCATAGCTGGACTGGTGAGCTGTCATGCTTGCGTTTCTTAGAAACTGTCAACTGGTTGATTTCTCAATGATGAGGAAGCTTATTCATGGTTAGTTTTTTAAACAATTTTTTAAAATGGATTTATAGCTAAACTAGTTCTGAATCTCTCTCAAAAGGAGGAGGAGACAAAGTGGTGCAATTGCAGCCACTATCTATTCACAGCTTTAGTGGTGAAGAACAACTGATCCTCCTTTAACCCACCAGGCATAGGAAGGATGGAAGCCAGATCAATACAGGGAGAGGGGCAGCCAATGAGAAATCCCAAACAGAAGAAAATGCCTGCTGCACGTTTCCTCTGTCTTCCGCTCAAGCAGAAGAAACTGGATTTTCCATTTACTCATAAATACATACATATCTCCCCCCCGACTTGTAAATCATAATCTTAATTTTTTAAATGTGGCTATAGAAACAAAAATAATAACAATAATCAAGTGCGCAGAATATTACATATCTCTTAAGATCAAATCCCTACTACAGATGTATCTCTAGGACATTATTTATGTTTAAGTAAACCCTTTTCTTTAATGATTTTTCAAAGGTCAATAAGTTTTAAGAGGGAATGAAGATACTCCTCTGGGCACAGCCCCAATTAGTATTTTCATATGCAAAGAATTAAGAAGCAAACGTTATTGCCCTGGAAATTAAGGTGATTGGCCAGTTGTATCTATAGGCGTGCCTATATTTGTTGCTTGATTTGAGAGAAGCTCTGTGCATTGTTTCAAGTCCCCACTTACATAACTTTTAGTTTCGCACTTTAAGGATGAGGAGAAAACACCCCCTATTGTCATTATTATATAATATGTGCAAAAGATTTCTGAAGCATCTCTGGATTAAAGAAAAGTAGTGGCTGTCACTTCAATTACTGATACTATCCTAAAATTGATTTTCAAGGTGTATGGTTGATGCAAAATCATTTGGGTAAGATATAAATTCATGGAATGTGGAAATTATTGTTATTGTATAATTCCTAATCAAAAGCAGCAATAAGTTTGTATTTCCTAGTTTTCTTTACTAACTATTCACCCCTACCTTACTGAAGTCATGCTTGTTTAAACGTTTACATTGAGACAACCAATTTATATACTGGATGAGTGTTTCTGCATAAAACCCCATCAAAATGTCATGCATTATATGTACAGGGAAAATCTGATTCCAGGGAATTCATAAATGATTTGTTCTCTTCAAATCAATGTAGTTAAATTCCTTAAATGGTTCAGTTAACAGACCAATACATAAAACTGTAACAAAAACTGGACAGACTGCTAACATCTAGAATTTTTGGTACAGTAACAATAAAATAACTTAAGACTACCCCGAGTTACTGAAGATTCTCTTTTTCTGAGTTCAGAAATTCCCCAAGTAGTGTTTCACAAAAATTAAGATAAATACCATGAAACGCCCATAATTAATCCCCCTCTGTCCGTGATTAGAACATGAGCCACTGATATCGATAGGATACAGGTGAAGGTGTCCTGGCTCCTGGATGAATGAGTGAGGCATCAATGTCTGTCCAGAATGGAAGTCAACAATGAAAACATGACACTTCATGCTGTCATCTATGAAGATGCTGCATTTAAAAATAAGTGAAATGAAAACCTGTGCAAGTCTTTGTTGGTTAATTCTTCCTGCATCTCTTTGTTAATTCTCACTTTTGTTGCTTTATCAACTCCCCACAGGGCTCAGATAGCTGGAGAGGCAAATTCCTCTAAGGAAAGTTTCTGTAGCTCAGACTTTGGCTACATGCATCCAGAACATCTGGAACAACACAGAAGATGATGCTTCTCTCTTTGTTGCCCAGTCAATTAGCAGTTTTCTAAGGCTACCAGTAGCTTTATATTTACCACACCACAGAAAACAAGAGGTCAGGATTCTGTTGATGGATTAACTGTTTGTTGATTTCCTTGTGCTGCTAAGACAGCTTCGGCTTCTTCATGCATCTAGAAGAAATGAAAATGTATTTAGCATTAAACAGTACACCAACTGAATGGAATCCTAGCACAGAGGTTCCTGGATGTTACTTCTACTCACCTGTAAAAACTGTACATCTTGAAAGAGCTCCTGTATGAATCGTCGAGATGGTAATCGAAATGTGCAGTGAGATAGCAAGTAAGACACTTCAGAGTAAAGGCATATGTCATCAAATGCTTGAGGAAACTTCTCTTTAATTCTAATGGGAATAGAGAAGAAAACAACTTACTTACCTCTGGAGATAAATGTTTGAAGTGAAAGAGGAAACAAGAATGCAGAATAGACAGACAAACAAATTTAAAAGCCTTGAAGAATCTAACCAAAATGTCACAATGTACATTCTCACAACCACAGGAATCTGTGCTGGTTACAAGAAAACACTTACTTGTGTTGAGAAAGCTTTGTTCTTTTTACTAGATACTGGATTCATGTAATAAGGTGTCTCATCATTCATTTTAAATTCATGTCCCAAAGCTACCTTTTGCCATAATCACCAAGCTCTTGAAACCTATGATTCTAGACTGGTAATTAAGAAAGGTGCCAGGCAGTTCTCCCCATGCCTCCCTACTGATGTTTCTGGATTGTATAATTCTGAACATATTCCTGCAGTGTCATCTTTGAGAAAAATAGGATGATGCCAGCAGTTCACCGATATCCCCTCTCCTTCCCACCTCCATAGGGAACTGGTCAATTTGGAGCCAGAGGCAGTTTCGTCTACTTCTCTCACTGAATTCTGATAGTACTTGGAGAAAGCTAGACATACAGTAAGGAGGAACGATTACTTACGTCAAGAGACCAGTTTCATGACCTTTTGTTCCTACTGAGCTACTCAAGTTGATCACTAATCGCAATACTTCCTTCCTCAGTAGTATGCGGCATACTGGAGTGTCATCTGGGATTGACTTTACACCTAAGGAAACATGAAATTTGCCAGTATATAAACCCTTGGTCAGGTGGCAGCACTTGCATTAGAGGAAAATCAGTGGGCACAATTACAAAACCTGCCATTTTTAGAAAACAAAAACAAAGGAAAGCCATGGATTATCCAGATTTTGCTTCCTCTTCTCATCCTTGGTCAGCTATAGAGAACATATTAATTCACAGGTATCCATCTTTATATAGGCTAAAAATAAACAGGGATTTATCAAAAGATGCTAAGAATTGGTTGTTGTGGGTTTTTCGGGCTCTTGGGCCGTGTTCTGAAGGTTGTTCTTCCTAACGTTTCACCAGTCTCTGTGGCCAATATGCTAAGATTTTTTTTTTTTGATTGAGAAAGTGACGAGCAAAGAAATATAAAGATGAATGAATAAAGACCAAGGAATCACAAAACTCATACTTTGATCATGGAGTGAAAGTTAAGAAGTACAGATTATTACAGCTAATCATGTAAGATACTATTAATAGGAAAAACAGTGGAGGAAAAAGAATAACGTATTGGTGAGTATAACCCTGGAGACTGGTTTGGACGCAGCACAAGATTACTACTGTATCCAAAGTCAGAAGAGTCATGGTACCTTCCAGCATCCAGCAGGAGATGAACAAGAAGGAGGTGAAAGAGACCATGGGAAAGGAAGAAAGCGTGAACAAAATGTACAATTAAGATGACATTACTTCCATGTACAATGTTCACAAGCAGAGTGCAAATAATTCCGTTTCTTCTAAAAATTTCCAACTTCTCCTAATAATCAAAGAGAAGAAGTAGAATGTGGCACGTCTATGATAAAGTCACTCACCTATGACAAGTTCTGTACTCTTGGTGCTACTTGCTGATCCATGGGATACAGCATCACTACATCCTGAAATCCCAGAAAACTTTGAGGAATGGGAAACCACATCCAAGTGATTATGCATGGTCTTTCCACACCAGTCAGAGTAAGGAATGTCTGAAAATTCTGATAAATGTTGATACAAGACAATGGAATGGTTTACATAGAAGAAAAATAAAGCTTAATTAAAGTAGACACATAACTGAATAGAAATTATAATAACAAACACAAAAAAATTTAATATGAACTACTGGCTGAAATCCTGTATGTTCTCGTATAACCCAAGTTACGTCAACATAAATGTGTTGGGTATTATGCCCGTGTAACCAGCATTGCACAATTAGATTGTGCAACTGATTGTACAACTCCAATCTGCCCGTTGCACGGCACACATACAGAAGTGCTTGGTGACTAGCACTTCTGCCCTGCCACCCTCTTTCTAACGCTGCCAGCTTCATGTTGAGCATCCAGAGTTGCCCAGCAAGATTTCAGCCATGGTTTCCATAAACATGCATTAACTGGTGGAGAAAAATGAAATGTGGGCATTATATAGGTGAACAAGCGGAAAATGACAGCTTCCATAGGACTTGACAGCCTAAGTAAATTTAATTTCAGTGTAAGTTTCTTATGTCCATGGTTGTGAAGCACACCTCTGAAATATCAAAAACTAAAATAAGGCTTAGATTAGGCTTCCAATTTCTGACAGAAGCAGACGTAGGAATACTGACCTGTGCGACAATATGTAGAATTTACTTTATTATGCTGACAGCCCAGGATATGCGTGCAGACACAATAGAGACAGTTGTCTTCAGTGTGCTCTTGGAGCCCTGTGTCTTCCATGTTTTCTAGGAACTGAGAAACATCTGAACGGCTCGTGTTCATAATCTCTGTAAGACTGATCTGCTGACGAAGCATCTGAAAGGGGCTCTTAACAAAGTCCGTAGAACCCCCTGGCAAACCTGGAGGTACATTAAGTTAAGCAACAGAAAAAGAAATGTAAGGCAGAACAACATCGTATGCCACAGTACCTAGGGTATTGACATTTTCAGCCTCAGTTTCACTGCTTCATTGAATCCCATTTGTGTTTTTTTCCCATTTGCGTTTTGTGACAACTGTAAGACTTTGTATGGACTTTTTTCACATAAATTAACTAAGGCATTTTTCCTAATACACATACAGTGGTGCCTTGAAAGATGAATTTAATTTGTTCCGCGGTTAATGTAATCTTGCAAAAAATTTGTCTTGTGAAACATGTTTTCCCATAGGAATGCATTGAAATCTAATTAATGCGTTCCTATGGGCAAAAAAAGTCAGAACAAAGTCAAATTTGGTTTACGAAGGGTTATTAAGTGCTCTTTAAAGGCTTACATATTGTGCAGATGATTTCAAAAAATTTGAATCAAAAAAAGTGTGGTTCAAATATTTTTTCAGTTGTGCACATTTAGCTATTCAGATTTTTAAATGCATGCATATTTGTGTGCTTATGTTACTTCCCCAAAATGTCCTGTAAACCTCACCAATGTGTGAGTTCTTGAAGCAAGGTACATTTCCTTGTGCAATGCATCTGTATATATGCACAAACCCTACTTTTATTGAAACTCTAACTGAATGAAATGCTTTTCCATCTCTAGTAACAAATTCACAACTTACTGAATTCCACTTCTCCACCTATAGCCATAGCTTAATAAAGCAGCCAAAGGTAAACAAATCATAATCAGTGAAGTTTCAATTAATAAAACATCTCAATATCCTGGAATAATATAATCACAGAAGACTAAGGGCAGGAAAGGGTCAACGAGGTCACAGAATCTAGCCCCTTGTCAAAGCAGGAAATTCCCACCTAAAGCATCCCTGACAGGTGATCACCCAATTTCTGTTTAAATATCTCCAATGCTGGAAAATCCACCACATTGCAAAGCAGCCCCTTCCACAGTTGAAACAGCTCTCAGAAACATTCTTCCTAATGTTGAATAAAAAATCTCCCTTTATTTCTGTTTAAATATCTCCAATGCTGGAAAATCCACCACATTGCAAAGCAGCCCCTTCCACAGTTGAAACAGCTCTCAAACATTTTTCCTAATGTTGAATAAAAATCTCCCTTCCTGTAATTAAAACCCATTACTTCAGGCCCTACCCTCTGGAGATACAGAACAGCCTGCTCCATCTTCCAAGTGACAGATGGCTCTTCAAATATTTGACAACGGCTATTACTTCATTTCTCTGTCTTCTTTTCACCAGACTAAACCTCAACCAGCTCTTTCAACCTTTCCTCGCAGGGCTTGGTTTTCAAATCCTTTATCATCCTTGTTGTCCTCATTTGGATACAGGGTGGACAAATATCAATGATTTTTAAAAATCAATTCGATTTAAATCATGGTTTATATTTTAAAAAAAGATTATTTTGACTTAAATAATAAAAAAATCTGATTTTTAAGATTTAAATCATTATTTAAATCAAATGTACCTTGTCTGGGCACATTCCAGTTTCTTAATATCCATAAATTGTGGTGCCCAGAACTGTACACAGTATTCCAGGTGAGGTCTGACCAACGTTTGTCCTCATTTGGATACAGGGTGGACAAATATCAATGATTTTTAAAAATCAATTTGATTTAAATCATGGTTTATATTTTTAAAAAAGATTATTTTGACTTAAATAATTAAAAAATCTGATTTTTAAAGTTTTTAAAGAATAGAGTGGCACTATTGCTTCCCTTGATTTGGACATTACCTTCTATTGATGAAGTCCAACATCTTTTTGCTGCCACATCACAATGCTTATCAAGTGCAGTGGTTAAATTGCAGTACCGTAGCCAAGACTCTGGTCGCAACCCAAGTTCAATCCTGACAAGCTCAAGCAGCCAGCTTGTGACTGATTCAGCCTTCCATCTTCCTGAGGTCAATAAACTGAGTGCCCAACTTGATGGGAGGAGGGCGGAATGTATAGCCTCTACCCAGGTCATGCTTAGCTTAGCTTATTCCTCTCTCTCTCTCTCCATAACAAAAAAACCAGACAAGCCTACTTTCCATTCTAGATCAAAATTAAAAAACTGTAACCAAATGGGGTTATATGCAAATCTGAAAGAAAACCTTAAAAAAGATATGCAGAAATGCAGATTTATTAAACAGTTTCACTATGTCTCCCATGACTAATTTTATCTGTAATTCCTTGTTGGTGCAAGCCACAACATATTTTGAACTATGCAAGTATAAATAATTTAGGGGCCACATTTTAAACCAAGGACTTCGGAAACCAACAGTCAGGCACAACATTTTCAAAAACAAAACTTAGCTATGATGGCAAGCAGTAACATAAGCCAAAAGATACAGGAAAAGAAGGAATACCTCCTGTATCCTGGGCAAAGACTCGAGAGCCCCGTTCATCAGATAAAGGCATCGTTTTCTTCTGGAAATAAGGAGTGTCCTTTACCTGAAATATTTTAATGTGAAAAATAGTGAGGGAGAATTTTCAGATGTATGTTGAGTTCTCTTTGCCAATGGGAAAGACATACCAATCTAAGTGTGCATGTGTGTGCACGCACCCCCATGTGTTTGTGCACTGGTTGCTAAATACTGCTGAATATTAAGGAACAGCACTGAGCATAATATTATCTTCTCTATGAGTCTGCCATGACAAATGTCCTCTCAGAAATATGCAATTACTTGCGATCCAAACACTCTGTACAGACATACCTGAAATATTTCATTTATGTCCATTGGGAGAGCAAGTCCAATATAATCATCTGAGCTCCCATAGGTAGCATTGGACACCATAGAACGAACAGATGAAGAACGCTGCAATGTGTTTTGATTAATAGGACTTAATAAATCTTCTTTATCTAGAGATGATGCATAACTTAAAGCTCTCATGAACCTGTAATGGTATAAAAGAACAGGTGAAAATACACACTTGAAAATCAGGTCTGGCTGTATACTTATGAGCAGTATTTTAAAAGACCGGCTAATTTGGGAACATGTACACTTTGTCTCTTCATATAGTACCTGACCAATAATAAGTCAAGGAAATATTATTTAGAGCAGGGGTCCCCAACCCCTGGCCGGGCCGCGGAGACAGATCTCCCCCCCCTTCGCGCATGCTTGTCTGCATGGGGGGTGCCCCGCCCCTGCACCCTGCCCGCCTCCAACCGGTCCGCAGTGTCAAAAAGTTTGGGGACCACTAATTTAGAGGAAGATGGGAGCCTCTGACCCTGCAAAGAATGTTCAATAATTCCCATCATCATTGAACGATCCTACTGACTGAGCTCATGGGAGCTGGAGTCTAATAACATACATCTCAATTTATCTGTGATACTGTGTGTTAAACACATGCCATGTTAGCCTGTGCAAGCATTATAGATAAAGGCAAAATAGAAAAAAAACGTAAAAAAATAATAAATAAAAACATGGTAGGACCTTAAAGGCTAAATTTTATATTTTTTTAATCTAGCCTGTGCAAGCATTATAGATAAAGGCAAACTAGAAAAAACGTAAAAAAATAAAATAAAATAAAAACATGGTAGGACATTAAAGGCTAAATTTTTTATTTTTTTAATTTGAACTTTTGTATCTGATGAAGTGGACTTGTCCTGAAAAGCTCATACAGTCAACCCTCGACTTACGAACGGCTCTAGATATGAACATTTTGACTTATGAACTGCTCTACTAGGGAAAAATTGACTCAACTTGTGAACTTTTTTTGAGTTACGAATAAAAAAAAATGCACGGGGAAGGC